TGACTCAACTCCAGCTGTGCAGTTTGCTCATTGTTTGAATGGACAAAAGGCAGTTTACCCAGGCTCATAGCATACCTGCCTGGGTGTCCAAATGTAACTAGATGCTTTCCCAAACCCCACCCACAAAACAGCACATGTTTTTAAGTCCTCAGTTTTCTATTCATATCGGCCTCATAATACCCACCCTGACCTGCTGTGAAAAAGCCCTGGGACATACCAAAATGACTGCACCTCCTGTGAGTACCCTCTTGTGACCATTGCCCTCACACTTCAACTGGGCATTTTCATCGTCGGTCAGGCATCTGGAATCAATTGATATCCCACTTGTTAGACACAGAAAGGCCTTTGGAAACGCGGATTTGTGGATGAGTTTTTGAGGAAAGTGTTGTGAGTTCAGGATTGGGTATTTTTTGCCCTTTCTTTCTCAGGCTCTTCCTTGGTCTCTTCCTACCACATCTATGCCTTCTCTCTCTTCATTTTCCTTGTGGTTGATGAAATAAGGGGCCTGAGGAAATGGAGAACATATGGGGAGACTTGTTTTGAACTTCTCTTAGCCCCTAAGCAAGTTCGTTATTGTTTTCTGTTTGGGGAACAAGATGTGATAATCTCTGGCTCTCTGTGGGTGAGCTGGACTAGTCTCTGAGCTAAAGGAAAATGTACCAGAGGTCCTAGAATTGTAAGTACTGATATTTATCAAGCAGGGTTTTTCAATATAACTCCAAACAGAAAGGAAAAGAAAAATTGACTAAAGCAATTTTCAGTTTTTAACTTCTAGAGATGACTATGTCGTGCTGGACGTAAATCCACTCTCCCTTAAAATAACGATTAAAATGTAGTTTGTGACAGCTCATGACAGTCTAAATTTACAAAGGTTGTGAGATTGAGTAATAGTTCCTGTGGAGTTGGTCCAAACTAACCATTGCAGGTGCCTGGCCTTCACCACTATCTGAAAGTCAGCAGGGATAGGGGGCGGTGTTCCAGAAGGGAATTTGCTGGAGTATTATTTATGCTGGAGTCGGCCTGCTAACAGTGTGTAGGGATGTGTTCTCTAAGACCAATCAAGGGGATTACAGAGCTGCCCTTTCACAAAGAACCACGAAGCCCTGTTGGGTTGGATCTGGTCAGGTTTCCATGAGGAATACTAAAGGGGAAACTCCCCTTCATTCTTTTCATAACTAAGAGAAATAGGTAAATATTAGCTCATTTCTAGGAAATCCCATGTCTTTGGTTGTATAGAGATGAAGGGCTTCCATGCCAAACTCCTACTGAGAAAATGTACTAAGGGCTTAGCTGAGGCTGTCCCTCCTCTGTAGTTGCATGTTCTCTTTCATGATGATATGTAAGTAGACAGTATTCTTTCCATCTTCAGCTGCTTTGCAAAAATTATTAAAAATTTACCTTGTGCTGTCAAGAAGCAGGGGCTTGGGTTTCTTTGCCCCTTCTAAATGCTAGGCTGAAGATCTAGCCACAAAACTGGAAATGTGTTTTAAAAATTGGGCAAAATTTGCCAGGCATGCAGTACCGTTAGGTTGAGAGTTCACATATGACAGGGAAAGTGCCATAAACAAAATGTCCGGGTCTCATTCTCTTAACTGTGAGATTCAAAAAAGCCTCCTTAAAAAAATACAGCTCCCAGAGCACCTCCATGACCCCTTTAGTAGAGTAGGTAACCTAATACCATGTTGGTGACTCTTTTCATGCTGCTGCGGCATATGCATCTGCAAGAGGTGCAGCTAGTCACCTGCTTATCTTGGGAGCTTTCCTGGATGAAAGCTCATGCTGACTCCACAAGTAGCAATATGGGGAAGTATTTGTCTTCCTATCCATCTGTTTCTTAGAATAAAGGCAGACTTGAGTTACAGGAACCCTGACTTTGGCAGGGATGATATTTGGCTATCAGCCATTGACTAACTTGTGCCAACCAGAGGTCCCTTGATGGGTTTTCTTATAAAATTGATAGAATGGCACATGAGTGACTCCCAGAGATTAAGTCAGAATCCCTGTTGCTCAAGAAAAGGCTCTTGTGGGTTTTAAGCCCAGTGCCCTGCGCGTAGAAAAGTAGTCTCTGTGCGGACCTCTCTGGTAGTGGACTTGAAGAGAGGGGCTTTGGAATATAGGAACTGATTTTATTTCCTGTTAAAGCCCAGAAAATGATTTCTAGACTCCCTGACCTCCTGCCATCCTCCCTTTTCCTGCTTGTCACTCTCAGCCTTGACAAGAGGGTTTCTAGTTTCTATGCAGCCATAAAACATGACATTTGCTTCTAACCTACCCAGACTTTCTGTAAAGGAACTGGCCAGAGCAAACTCTGCTGCCTGCCTTGTCTGATGCTGGGTCATTGGCCCCTTCTTCCAGGGAGGGCCTGAATCCTGTACCTAGGACTTAGGCATACTAGGTTTCCCACCTCAGCCTGCTGCCATTAAATCAGAACTCTACCCACTATCCATGCTCCACTGAACCAAATTGTAACAGCAGGAACAACTAACAGCAGGGTTTTCTCTCATTTGAAGGTTCCCTCCTCACCTAAACCTGCATTTTGTTATAGAGGTATAGACTATGACCTTCATAGTGTTTAAAGAAAGGCATCAGAACTTTCTGTCACTGTGCTTTTGTGAGATGATTTCATTCCTAAATCCTCACATTTTTTCCTGTTTCTGGATTGTTTGTTTGTTTTCCACCTGTGGCTATGTTAGATGCTAATATTCTCAGGTAAGCTACCTCTTCCTCTTTTCTCACCCTTGCTCTCTCTCCTTCCTTCCCTCCCTCCCTCCCTCCCTCCTTCCCTTCCCCCACCCTTACTCTCTGAAAAGCTATAATGACGTATTTTCACAATACCTTTCCAGCCAGTTGATCTTCTAATCTATTGATAGAAAATGATGCCCTGTTTAATTTAGTATTTTGATCAATAATAAATATAATGAATATATGCACCATCTGTAGATAGCTATGTTTTAGAGCATTTAAATGAAAACAGCTTCACTGCAAAGCCGAGCAAATTTAACTTGTGATGATTGAGATGTTTTATCGGGCTTTTAGAATTACGTGGGAATCCCCCAATAAAATAATGGCCATCTTTTGTCACCCAGTAAATGTTTGTAGCCCTTTTACCCCACTTATTTATTATAGGAACTCATTAAAAAAAAAAAAACAGGAGGACTTCTGCAGATCAAAGGGACTAAACATGGGTTGTCTGATGTCAAGACAGGCTCAGGCCAGGACCCACAGGGGCCCTTCATGCCACTTGCTCTTCTGGGCCAGAGAGTTTTGATGGATGATGACAAGGGAATCCTGAGAGTCACTGTTGCACTCTTTTAGGACCCAGGACACCTGACTGACCCTCCCTTCTTTTCCCTCCGGCAGATAAAGATACACATCATGTCATCTTCACATCTGTTCTACCTGGCACTCTGCTTGCTCACCTTTACCAGCTCTGCCACAGCTGGACCAGAGACCCTCTGCGGGGCTGAGCTGGTGGATGCTCTTCAATTCGTGTGTGGACCAAGGGGCTTTTACTTCAGTGAGTAGCTCTCCTGCACCCACTCCCATCATCTGTCTCTGGGCTACTACAATTCTGAAGTATATGGTTTTGTGTATTTACAACTGCAGGGATTATGTGACTAACTGAATGACTGCCCATGACTGACAGCCATCCCCAGCCCTGAGATCCCCCTTGAAACACATATAGCAAGGCTTTGGCAGGTTGGGGAGATTTAGGGTAGAATTTTCTTCCTTAAGAGTGTGTCATTAAGGCTTCCTCTTGAGCCTATCCCCAGCTTTTCTGGTCTATCCCCGCTCTCCTATCCCTTATGATGAAGGAATAGGACAGAACAGCCCTGGAGTGATGGAGATTCTGATCTTAGACCTTTGAGCGCTTATGTAAACATACAGAAGACATGTAGGGCTACTTTGAGTGTTCTGTAATTAGAGTAAAATGATAAAGATCCTCCCACCCCAAATTCATGTGAACTTGTGAAATGAATTAAGTGGAGAACAAATTAGATGTCTCCATGTGATACAAAGTCAACATGAGCGGACAAAAGGTGATCTTTGCCAAGATGTGTTTGTAAATATATAGGCTTTCTCTAACAGCATACTGGAGTGGCATGCCAATATGTCCTTTTAGCAAAGTGACCTTAATATTTTGTCACTCTTTCCTTTGATGTAGTTCTTCCCTGGGTATTATATCCACCTGGAGAGTATTCTTTGAAATATTCAGCATCACATTCCTTGTAAGTAGGTCTCAGACAATAAGAAAGTCAATAACCAATGGAAAAGAGGCAGAGGAGTCAATGTCTGTAAATAACACACGCCAACATGTCAAGGGACACTTCCACGTCACAGTATGTTACAATACGGTGAAAAACTGAAAGACAGGTGTAAAAGCTATACATTCTCCAGGATTCCTATCAGTCATATGCAGACAGTTGACCTCAGTGATCCAGGAAGCTTAACACAGCTGCTATGATGACTCAGGTTTTAAAGTCTCTTGTATTCCTACACACACACACACACACACACACACACACACACACACACATGCCAGCCTCTCTTGAGGCAGGTGGTAATGGTGTTGGCTGTGTGGTGGTGTGTGTGGGGTGTGTGTGTGTGTGTGTGTGTGTGTGTGTGTGTGGGTGTGTGTGTGTGTGTGTGTGTGTGTGTGTGTGTAGGCATGAGAGAGAGAGAGAGAGAGAGAGAGAGAGAGAGAGAGAGAGAGAGAGAGAATGAGGCACAGTTTATGTATATGTCTGGAGATGGCCAGGGGAAGTATTAAGGAGACTGGTAATGTATATTTGCCAAGTAACAGAATATCATCAAAGGGTTCTGGGTAAAAATGGCTTTGTGAAACATGGGCCACTGTCAATTCTGTCATTAGGAGTATTTCTTTCTTTCTTTAAAATCACATTCTGGCTTATAGAATTCCATGATTTAAGCTATATTCCCCGCCTGCCTTTGTTCCTTAAGCACAAAGGTATTCTTGATAGCTTTCTGTTCAACACCACAATTCTCTCTATCTGAGAAAAGCTGATCCTTTTAAATTTCTTTAGTTTACTCCAGAACATTAGGGGAGTATTTGTCATGCAGTATCACAAGGTATAACTGAGATGCCCAGAGATGAATGACAGTCTGACCTTGCCTTTAAAACACTCAAATCTAGACATAGGTTAGAAAAAAAAAGCGTGTATCATATGCTGTAGGAGAAAAAAAAAACCTTGAAAGAAGAGCTTATATTCTTAGTGCTTTTCTTGAATATTCCATCTCATTTATGGCATATCTTCACAAGGCTCTGCCCTCTAAGTGAACCCCTCAAAGGCCATAGCTATTTATTTTTAAGATTACTGTCAAGTTCAGTGTCTGACTGATAACAGTAGTTGTTGGTATTTATCAATTTGAACTGGCAAGATTGAATCCAAATAAACTTAATAGAACTGCTTCTGTGGGACTCTCATAGTAAGAACCATCAAGAATTATGACTGCCCAATATTTTAAGACATACATCTCACCTCTTGCCTACCCAGTTACTTGATGAAACTGTTTTGCTTTTTTTCCACTGAATTCAATGTATGTATATCATCAATAACTTATAAGCTGCACTGTGGCCATCCCTAAGCTACACTGATGGGCTGTTTTGTTCCTGAGCCAATTATTCTTACAGGCATTAACTGTTGTCAATAAATTTTATCGAGCTTCCTTTTTATCCCGAGATTTACTGTGTATGGCAGTCACTGCTAAACATTTGCATTCCTCAAAACACCTTTTACAGGGATGCACTCTCCAGATTTCTGTCCCTCCAATTGACACTTAATGAGTTTTCCTCTTATTTTCAAAGTTTTATTGCACCCATACCATTTTATTTTAAGCTGTTTCAACTCTACTTTGGAAGTATGTATTTCTCTTCGTAGTGGAAGATAGTGACTGATCTTAGTTTGATATCTAAACAGTTGAGAGAAATTTGCCTCTATCTTTATTTCTTTGGATAAAACAAAATATTTAGCAAGAAGGGGTTTTGGATTCTATTAGAACTGTTCTAAGTAAGTTGTTTGTTTGGTAATTCTTGCTTCGTGTAGATTGGCCCAATTTTGCAAATGAGTGCACATTCCCCTTGTGTCCAAGTTCTGTGGGAGCACAGCAGACACAATCTCCTGGATGATGTTGTGTGAATGTCTTTCCAGCATAAGTAGAACAGTTGATCCCAAATTAATGCAGCTTCCCCAGACATTTTACAAAATGAAGGCCCCAATGAAGAGCTAATTATGGATTCTTCCCCATGTACCATAGAAAGAGTATGTTACTCAGGCTTGTGCTCTCTTAGTCCTGTGAGGAGAGCAATGCCATTGTGGAGGCAAAATATCACTAGAAAAGAGCTTGTATTAAGTCATGTGCTGAAACTGAGGGTGTCCCACCATAACTTTGTTTTGTCTGCAGTACACCAATTGGTAAGATGAAATGGGAGAACTTAAGCTTGCCATAGGTATAATTTTTGACAGCTATGGTGATTAACCATTTTAACATGCTGTTTGGGAACTTCTGGAATTTCTCCCCTTTGAGGTATGTAAAAAGTTGACAGGCAACCAACCATCTTGAATGGTTTCAATTAAGAGCAACCAGAAGAAAGAGAGGTTCTGGGGTCCTTTCTAGTTTAAGAGTCTATAAACAGTCCCTTAAATAAACTGTATATGCTTTACCTCGGGCGGTCTCAGGGAAAGAAGTAAATCAATTAGAAAGGAAAGTTGGAAACCCTTTCAGCTACCCAGATTTATGGCTTTTGTAAACCATCCCTACAATGCATGCTTATTAAGAACAGATCTGGATAAACGAATGGCATCCTTCATGTGTTAACGCATACTGTTTTTAAAGAGTTTAAGTGAAACTTTGCAATTAGCTTTCACTGTTACTGATTGCACAAACCCCCCAAAGTTTAGGTCATTAGTATGAACTCAGGCTTCTTCCCTTTGATATACAGAGCTCAGGAAACTACCCCTGACCTGCCAATCATTATCTGTGTGACTTTGGCAGGGGCTGAAATGTCCTTGTCTATAAAACAAGGGGATTTTGTTAAAGAAAATGACATTTAACTTTAATAGACCATGACTAGGTTGCAACCAACAGGCATTTGTGCTATTGAAGAAAGGAGAACCCTGGATTTAACTAGTGACCGAGGAACATTTAGTTTCTTTTGACTTCTTGACATCATTTCAGTTGATCCCCAAAGGTAGACAATCCTCTTACTTCAAGAAATAGGAGCCAGCTGCCCTGCTGTATTTTAATTCAGGTTTTATGTCTCCAAGGACAGACTGAAAACTCAGACACAGCCACAAACTCCCAGGTCATAAGCCCGATGTTGTCATTTCTCTCTGCCATCAAGTACAATCTGATGGCTGTCATCTTTGCACTTTCACATTGCCTCGACTTTCAGAAGCAGTGAGGAAGTCTGTTCATTTGCATGGAAGAGGACTCTATGAATCTATTAGATACCTATTAGGTAGGACCTATTAGATACAGTAGCTGGCTTGATACAGCCTGTCTAACAAAAAAAGAGAGGGCATTCAAAAGGACACAAGGCCGCCAGACACTAGCTTTGCTTTGGGCCATGTGGATTGTGAGCTCCATCCATATGCATTTCTTTGCACAGCATCCAGCTGGGGATTCCAGCCACGCTTTTGTGTGAGTGCTGGTCCAAGTTAGGGGTGAGTGCGGTCACTGCGCGTGGAAAAACTATGCTCTTTGAAATTGATACATGTGGAATTGACCTTATAACCTTGCCCTCATCAGTACATTGAGCTAATAGACTACAGATATTGTTTTTTAAAAAGGGCTTTTATCTTAACCCTCAAATGCTTACTACTCCATTTTAAAATATACCCAAGAAGACTTGTCTGTGGGACTAAGGAAATGATAGTTTCTATATGAAAACAGAAAATAGCTTTTAATTTTGTGGCATGTTAAGGCTGTCTTCTCCTGGATGGAGTGCTGTAAACTGGAGAATGAAGGGCTCAAGAGCAAAAGTGTGGCTTCCTTTGACAAGAACCCAGGCTTGAGCCTTAGCTCTGCTACTTAGTCTGGGAGACCTTGAGCAAGCTCCTTGACTACATTGTACCTCAATTTCTTCATCTGTAAAATGGGACCTCCTTATAGTGTTGATATTAGGGTTAAATGAGCTAATAGATTAGCTAATGTTAGTTTTGAGCAGTGCCTGGCACATAGCAGCCCCACATCCATTGGCTAATGCATTTGTTTACTCTCTTCTTAGACTCAGCTGCAGAATCCACTGCAAAAAATAAGATATCTGAAAAGTCTAGTTAGTTATGTACTCATAATTTTTTCACTTGGGGCAGCTGATAAAATTATTAGTAGTAACAATTATGTGCACTAAGACAGTCTTAATGACAAGGAAAATGATCTGCTTGTGTCACATTTACTTTTTCAAAATCTATTTGCCTCTCACTTTGTCTTTATCCCCATTTTGACAGGCAAAGATGGTTATTGCATTAGACAAACAAAATAAGACATAGGCTGGGG